ACAATATAATATATATATATATATATATATATATAATATATATATATATATATATATATATATATATATATTCACTAATATCTGCAAAACTTCCGAATACTTTACTTTAAATTAACTCATATTAGTTTTAGTTATTGTTTTAAATAAATTATTTAATAATTAAATCTCCGTTATTTCATTACTCCAAAATTGTCCTGAATACGTACCTGTCACTCCTTCCCACCCATTTGTCCTAACGAGAAATATTTGGCAGGCTTTGCGCATCTGTTTCTTGCCTGAACTGAACGTTATATCTATTTCAGAGAACTACGAACACAGAGAAGCGACACGAGGCCCGAAATCCGTGTATCTTTTCTGTATACGCATGACCCAAATAGAGTGCTTTACTGTCAAAAACACGTGCGTTTTCTTCAACTTTGGTTGCTTACGATAGTCCGTAGGCATTTGTGGTAAACTCTCGACTATACAAGTGCATTTGACCATTTATCTAATTTACTTAGTAGTTAAAAGTTTATAGTTATAGTTAAAATATATAAGTTAAATATATAAGTTTATAGTTATATTTTATAGTTAAAAGTTTAATTTATAAGTATTTAAAATGTCTTCTGGTTATTGTTGTGCGTTTCGCGGATGTTCATCTGTGACAGAAAAAGGAATAAGTTTATTTAGATTTCCTAAGAATAATAACAGGTAATTACTATTGCTTTGTAATTATTATTACTTATTACATAATAGTATTAATTTGACTTTCGATCAGTAAGCCGACACCGACGTGTCCGCCCGAGCTCTCGTTAAGTGGAGCAATAAAAAATAAATTTTGGTCTGCCAAGGGAAAAACCAGATGACTACGAACACACATTAAATTTATTGTCTCCGAAGGCTCAGGTCAAAAAATCAACAGATGTTGGCCTACTGGTGTGAAAGCGCTAGCAGACAACAATACGAATATAGTATTTTTAGGAAATAAAAATATATAGAGGGTTTTATACATATTTTTATAGAATATTTGATTTAAACGAAACAAAGAAATTTCTAAAATGCTCAAACTAAAAATTGTTGGAAACATAATTAGATCGAAAATTGGGAACATCTTAAAATTACAACAGAACAAGACTTCAAAATAAAAACATGATTGCAAATAAACAAACTTACATTAACATACCTTCAAATATTTGCTGTCTTTTTCACCAAACAAACTTACATTAAATTATGAAAAAACTAAATGCTAATCTACTTTTTGCTATATACAAAAGTTGTCTGTCAATGTTTAATTCGTTAAATATAAATAACAAAGATCAAATATATGGATCAGAGTACACAACATATTTAGGGAATAAATATTTAAGTGGGAATTAAATTTATTTATTGTACTCAATATTTATCGTCCGTATATGTATCGTCCGCATATCGCAAATTATTTATGAAGTCACTGTTCATAATTATTCCTTCTTGTTTTTCAGAAAGTGCATTTCTGAACGTTCTTTTGGAGTAAACGGCGATGTGATTCCAAACCGTCTACTAAAACTTATGTTTCATTCCAATACAATTTTGCAATTATGCGAACGTCTATGCCATCCAAACCAATGTTTCTTAAAACTTCGATCAATATAGAGTACTTAATACGATCAAATGCCTTTCGGAAGTCAATAAAAATAAAAAAAATCATTGGGTTACAACAGTACGCCCAACGAAAATATGTAATCCACCATGTTGTTATCGGCCATTTTGGATTTTCTATAATGAACTCTTTTGTACTAGTCAAGCCCTTTCATTTGATACCCATATTGAAGTAGTTGTAAAAAAATAAGTAATCCGCTATTGTGTAGCGGCGTCCATCTTGGTTATACAATGATACTGAATGTATGTAGTGTATGTATAGTCGATTCGCTAATCTCAGACACAACTATCTAGTATTTTAGTAATTATTTTATTGCGAAAGTTAGTTACATTTTAACAGACTAGAACTGGATGACAATTAATATATTTACAACCAAGCACATATGCTCATAGCCAATATTAAGAGTAAACAGACATAAATCTTACTCCAATCAATCATTATTTATTTACAACCATAATATAATTCCACAACAGACAACGGAAGATTTGACCAATAATTTAAAGGTAAATGCTCCAAATATACATTTCTACTTCAAGAAGTTAAAGGTTACGGAGTACCAAGCAAGCTTTAAAGTTTCATATCCATTGGATTATAAAAATGAAGTTCTCAATCCCAGTATCTGGCCTGAAGGTTCAATGGTTCGTCGTTTTGACTTCAAGTATAAGAATTGTACTAACCGCAGTTAACAACAAAACCAGAAATAATTGTTACAAATCCGGCTTAGGCAAACTAGATACTACAAATAATTTTAAAGGCAATACCAATCAACTAAAAATCGTAGGTATTAACTCTGAATCTATTGTAAACAAAATAAATTGTATCGAAATATTAGTTTAAACTGAAAGTCTGGATTTACTATGTATATCCGAATCATGTGTAATGACAATAATATAAATTCGTTTTATCTTCCTAATGCTCTTTTGTAATGATTCGTAATACTTTTTTGATTATTTTTTAGGTTATTACATTTTTATATTTATAGAAATATACTCGTACAATAGTTACTTCTGGATTTTTTATTCGTTTTAGTCGAATATCGTTTACTCCAATATTCGACTTTAAAGGAAAATTGTAATTTTAATAGGTTTCCAAGACATTAACAATCGATATCAATATAAAGTTTCTTGTTTCTCAGTCTCACCCAAAGAGAATTGTAATTTTTAGAGTTTGTGAAATTTTCGTGGCAGTTACAATGGCTTTGTTATTTTTTGATTATATTACGAAAGATAATTTATTAGGAAATTTCACGACGAACAAATTATATCTTGTATCGACACAAGCCAAAAATAATCGGTGTATTATTGTATTATCAATGCCAACATCAGAATAAACAGAAAAGTATTTTCATCTATGGTTCCATCAATACGATTTTCACCATTACTTTGCGTTGTGCGATGTATTTGCAACCTTTTGTAAATCAAAAATAATTACACCATTTAGAATGTCAACAAAATTATTTTTTTAGTGGAATATTTCATATTTATTGAAAGTCAACATAAATCCTTAATTTTATTTAAGAATTTATATTGTGTGATATGCCCACTGACTATTAGTAAATAGGTTGCTTTCCTGTCATTTTCACTCGTTGGCGGCTTGCCCACGCAAGATCAAAGGTGTGTCGCTTTTCTGCGTTCGTAGTTCTTTGTCTATTTTTTCTTTAATCTAAGCTTCGCACTCGAGATTCGACATTCCGCTTGAAACAAAGACTTGTATTCATTTTCAGTGCAATTGTAAATTCAGTTTTTGTACTTTATAATTTTACGTTTTATCTATTCAATTAAAGTTTTGGAATAACAATTATATGCATAACAATTTATACATAATAAATTGGTCCTTCATAGAGCGGATAACTAGTGCAATTATAATAAGTTATCGTGTAAACTGGAAACCGAAAAAAGTCCATCGCATGCAGACACTTCCATGCCACCATTTTTCGACGATTAGATGCAGATCAACCGAACAAGAGTCAACGGTACGGATTTAGCGTTCATTTACCCACTCCTATGATTTTTATCCTTGTTTCGACTTGATTTTATTATTTTAATTCATTCTTAAAAGACTCAATCAATTTTATATTCGCTCCGTGCGTGACTGACGCGACACCTACCACCTTCATCTGACAATTTTGGAGTCCCAATTTTGGGATAAAACGTAAAATTATAAAGTTCAAAAACTAAATTTACAATTGCACTGAAAATGAATACAAGTCATTGTTTCAAGCTGAATGTCGAATCTCGAGTGCGAACTGCGCAGCTTAGAATAAAGAAACCGGTTTCGTTAATCTAAGGTGCGAACTCAGAAGTGAGTAGTGAGTAAAAGGTCAACGTCGTAGACCAAACCCATGGTGGCTGCACGGGGGCGAAGGGGTTACGGTTCATCGATGTGTGCGACAACTGCTAGTTGTCGCACACAGGGTTGTACAGGGGTCGATCAACAGTTAACAAAGCCTTTTATTTTTATAATTATCAGGTTCATTCAAAACCATTTGAAAGGTAATTTTAAGGACTATAAACTCGTGTTAAATTTAATCTTTTGAGTCCCTTATTTTTTAAAAGATAAAAGGTTAAAGGGGACCCGGTTACATGGTTTTCGCAGTAAAATTTAGGTTTTAAACGTTTTTATCCGTTTTTTTTTAATCCTACAAAAATATAAAAAAAGGAAATTCTTTGTTAAAAAAAAACCTGAAATTTCTCAAAAGAAAAGAAAATTTATGAAAATATGAAAAATTCTGATTTTTTAAATCAATTTTTTTTTTCAAAAATATGCATCCTAAACCGGTCAAAATTTTTAAGGTCATTACTTATTCTAAAATAAAGAAAGTCTTATAGTGATTACTATAAATTTTAATTTTTGTGAAAATTGCGTATGTTTTATTTTTCACTTTTTCCAAAAAAATTCGAAAGGGTCCGTTTATTTTCATGACAACTTGCTTAATTTTGATGCTATCAACTTCTTCTAGAGCTCATTTTATAGGTATTTCTGAGTACTTTGAAAATGGTTCAATAAATATTTTATAATTATGTTAAAGGTTATTTAAGCTCTGTGCTGTTTTCAGTAACAATAACGTTTTCATCGTTAGCATCATAAGTTTTATTAAGTTTTTATATCGTGTTAGTCGAGTGTTAAACTTATTTTGGTCATCAGGTTGTTCGGATCTTGTTGGTTACACTGATAACTTTTCTTACATAAAAACTCAACACTACAACACTTTTACATTAGTTCTTCATAAACATCATTAGAAATCATGCAAAATGAAGCAATACAAATATTTATGCAATAGGTATTCTTTTAGAGTAACATATTTTATATAGAATTCGATTAAAAATCATTTTTTAATCCTTTATATTACATAAAAATCGTTCAAAAACAAGTACAACCATATTCACTTAGCAGAAAATCCAATTACTGGGCAACGCTCGAGAATTATTTTCATCGTTTCGGGGAAGAGTGCCATGAATTTAAATCTTTCTCCCATTTTATCTATGTCGATTAAGGTTTTATAACATTCGTTTAAATCGATTATATTTTTTCTATCGCTTATCTTATCTTTCAGAACTTTAAATCTGAAATCCAAACCAGTTTGCAGAAGAAACTCCCGTTGGGTGATTGGGCCAAAAGTTAGGATGTCCTTTACTTCGTCTGCAACCTAATAAAAATATATATTATTAAAATAAATATTGTTTGAAATATCGATACAAAATATTCTAATAGTACGTATTCCACATTTTTTTAGATTTAGCGTTTTAAAAAAATATTGTTCCAATAGATCTTATTCCGTCTATATCAAAATATATCGTAAGAAACATTTAACTAAAAATATTTTTTTCGCGCCTATTCTAATATGTCGTAAACAAAACCGCTATAACAACAAGATATGCTCACGTGCCGTTCTAATTTTAATCGACTTGTGTGTATCATATTTTAACGATGCATCATATGGCAACGTTGTTCCATTATTCTAATGAACAACTTCGAAACTTAAACTGTTAACGGTAAGTATACATCGATGCCAAATCTTGCACTAAGAAGTCATAACTAGTTACTTTTTGTGAAAACGTGGTTTGAAAATTAATAAGTAATTTGTAAAATTAATTAAAGAAACATATGAATCTACGATGGGATTGTGTGTATTACAAACAAAATAAATATTGCTACAAAACATAAATTAAATATAAAAGGCCGGTAAAATGTAAAGATTTTGACTATTAAGGAAAAGTGGGTCATACTTGAGACTATGAATATAATTTATTTACAATATTTGTGAATTTTCTCTTGCGGATATTGTACTTAATTATATTTAATATTTTTATTTAGAATTCTTATTTTAAAATACATTTTACATCTAAACAAAAGTAAATTTACATCTTCGCTAACATTTACATATTTTGCAGATTCTATTAAGTTTTTTAAATATTTTTTTGGTATTTTTAATGTGTGGCCATGATAACTACGAAAAATATGTTCCAGTTCACTATATAGTACCACCGAACAACATAGTACATACTACATCCATCCAAAGTAACTTTTTTTAAAGACCTATCAAAAATAAAGTATTACTTCAAGTTCTGTTAAAATAGGCATCAGTATACAAATTTAAAAATTTAAAACGGAACATAGGGATTATTAATACAATTAGTAAGATCACCTGACCTGTAATTACCCAGTGTAAATTTCAATATAACGTCGCGATCTCTTATAATTAATTCATTTATTCGACTGGACTCCTTCTCCAGTCGATATTTTTCGACTGATATCGAATAATAAAATCTTGCATCTCGCCAAGCCGCTAGTATAAAACGGAATACAGGAGAGGGTATATCTGAAAGTGCCAAAAATCTACAATATTACGTAGATATGGAATTAAAATATTATTTTATTAAAAGAAATTGTTATATTTTATTGCCATATTAATTAATTATTTTATTTTCAAAAATGGTTTCTAAATAATTTTGAACTGCTCGTGTATTGTGAGCAGGACAGCCGTCTTGCTGAAACCAAATATCGTCAAAGTTGACAGGAAGTAATTGAACTGCTGGAATAATTTGATTTTACAACAATTCTAAATATTTATTTCCCGTTAAATTACCATCAATACAAAATGGACCGACGATATAATCCCCCAAAATACCTGTCCAAACATTAAGTTTTTGGGGATACTGTGTTCGTACTGGAATACGCAAGTGTGTATTGTGCCGAGACCAATATCGTACGACAGAAGGATTATGTTGCCGATGTAACGAAAATGTCGATTCATCGGTAAACAAAATGTTTTTTTAAAAAATGTTCACTTTCATTTTGTTTATTCATCATCAGTTCACAAAATTCCATACGCTTGAAATTGTCCTCGGATAATAACTCTTAAGTTGTTGAAACCTTAAAACAACGATAACCATTCCATTTCAAAATATTCCTGACAGTCCTATCATTCATGTCAACTTCTTCAGCAATAGTTTTGCTTGAACAAGGATCACTAGTTTTAGCAGCACTACAGACATCAATTTCCCTATTTTGCCTAACTTCGTTGATTATTATTTGTCTCGTGGTAGATCCGTATATTTTTGACAGTTTTGTACACAACCTAACGATTCAAATTTTTTAATAATACGACTAATAGTTGATTGTATCGGTATTGGCCTATCTTCATAGGCACAAGTAAATAAATTTATAATATCACGGTACGAGTTGCCCCCAAAATACCATTTTAAAATTTGTACTTTTTCTTTGTTTGTATACATGGTTTATGGTTAGAAACACTACTTTTATTTCAGCTTATGGCGTTATAATGAGAAGCAAAGCAAAGGGCATGCATTTGTTTTGCTCGGCCAGTGATGTTCCTTGGGACTGTTGCCAAATCGGTACATACCTTCGGCAAAAATCTGTAGATTTTGATGTATCATATACATCCTTTTAAATTATTAACAATATTTGGAACAATAAATATATTAAACTATACACTAACCAATTCAAATAATATCTAATGAACACCAAAAATTGTTGTTAATAAAACATTGTTATTATCTGCACAAAAACACAAAAAATCAGTGGACGATAGACAACAGTCACGACGTACACCTGCCGAATACGCTACTAGAAATCGCGAAGGAGTAGCAATCCAGTCGAATAAATGAATTAATTATAAGACATCGCGACGTTATATTGAAATTTACACTGGGTAATTGCAGGTCAGGGGATCTTACTAATTGTATTAAGTCAATGAATTAAAATTTGTCTCTTTGTTAAACTTTTTTATCCATAGTTACCCTATGACATCTCGTATGTAACTATACGTTCAGTAATAATGAAGACACTGTGTCACACTGTGACACACAATCGGACCATTAACAAGAAAGATATGATGTAATTCGTTACCCCTTCTCCTTTCCAATGATGTATTATACGTCACTATCCGACGAACTATTCTATCCCCTCACAAAACGCTAAAAAAATTAGCAGCATGAACCTTAGCATTTTATTATACAGGGTGTCTCAAAAAAGGGTAACCCCGTCTCTTCGGTAGGTAAAAAACTGAAAAATAATTGGGATTTGCTTAGTAAAAAATTTTTGTAACGCCATCCGTTTCAAGGTACAGGGCGTTGAAGAAAAAAAAATTACGCATTTTTTACGATTTTGTCGAAACTACTGGCAACATTGTAATGAAATTTTATACGAATATGTTTTGGAAGCTGATACATCCCATGAATTTGTTTTTTATATCTGATTCTCATAGAGGGCGCTAGTTACACGGATCGTACTAAATATTAATCAATATAACTTTTTTAAGAGTATAATAATTATTAATCAAAATTTCAAGTAAACTTAAACATCATTCAATTTTACACGAAAAGGATACTCTTGGTAAAACTCGATACTGTGTGCCGTTTTCGGAAGAAAATTAAATTAATGACTAAGAACATAAAATAAAATCAATTACAGTAAGTGTTCAAAATGCCATCCGCTTTCGCGAATACACAAGTCTATTCTTTTTTCTAAAGATTCCATTAACCTTCTAAACGGTAGGGGATCAGCTATGATGTTATTAAATTGACGTTGAATTCTTTCTTCCAATTCTTGGCTTTGTAGCATAGACTTTTTCCTTAATATACGACCAAACTGCGTAGTCCAAAGGGTTAAAATCGCATGACCGAGGAGGCCAATGAATCGGAGCTTCTGCACCTCTACCAATCCATCGATTCGGAAAATGATTACTCAACCAATTACGACACCTTCTATCAAAGTGTGGTGGAGCTCCATCGTGCATAAAAAATAAAGATCTTCGCTCGTTTAGCGTTAAATCTTCTAATAGCTCGAATAAGTAATTGTTAAAAAAATCAAGATACATTTATACACCACTTAAATTTCCACCAGATACACCATTTCAATTTCCAGGGAGAATATGATAACCTATTAATTTGTTACCTAAAGTTGCTGCCCAACAATTAACTTTAAATGAGTGTTGTAGCGTTTTAAATATTTCTTACCATGAAAAATTTATATTTTAAATTTTGTAGTTCGCCACTGATCTTATTATATAAATATTTTTGTCTTTATTTACATTCAAATCCCGATTCTCTGATTATATTGTGAGATAGAAAAATCAATATAATACGTGTTATTTCTTCATATAAAAAAGTAGTTTATATGAAAGTCGCTTTGTAGCGATATAGTTGAGGCCTGTTTTAAAAACAAGAAATTTAAGTTATGGACGTAAGAAGAGGGTCGCCCACACCGATATTAGATTTAGGTCAGGAGGGGAATTATTTTGCGTTTGGTTTGAAATCGAACCAAGGTTAGACAGGTTAAAAGGAGCAACGAAGCATGCAGGTGATATTAGGCAGCTCGAGTTGAAAGGACGGGGCATTTTTAATAAGCAGCCGGTAATTTTGTGTAATAGGTTAATTAACCAGACCTGTAAAAAGTTTACTCTCCGTAAATATGATGGATTAGCATAAAGAAACTACTAAAAGGATTTGTGCAGTATACCAGAACATGGTAAAATTTTACAGCAGTACATAGGGTGTGCCACCAGCTTCGTTTGTCATCTGTTTGCCCCAACCTCGTTCCTGAGTATAGAAATGTTTCCTGTGTTCCAGTTAGAGAATTTGTACAAGTAGCTTCCCCAGAGATGTAGCAAGTTTTTTTTTTAGTTGAGTGGCGAAATATGTGAATTTTAAGGTAACAATCCAATATATTAATTTTTCAAAGTAAAGACAGACATTTTTTGGCTAAAGTAATAATTGCTTTCATAACAAATTAAAAATTGTAATATGTATGGTTATGCTGTTAATCTATTTGTTCTTTGCCATCAAAATTAAATGTGACACCTGACAGCTAGCTTTAATTTGATTTTTTTTGTTGTGATAATTTTAATTTGATTAATATGTAGAAAGGATATTTCATATATAAGGTTAAATTTTATTATGTTTTCATTAACAAGGATCCTTAATTTTTGATAATCTAATTTGGCCATATTATAACCTAGGAACCATTTCAGAATTTTTATAGCAATCTCCTTTGTAAACAGATAAGCACGTAAGTTTTTGCTAATTTTTGTATTATGTTTATATAGTATGTTTTGTGTAATCTGTATTTTTGGTAACTGTTTGTTAGAGACAAAAATAAATGTTTGATTTGTTTCTCTGATTATTTTGTTTTGAAAATCTCCTAACCTTTTTTTGTGTGCCTACTTTTTATAGGAAAGAAGAGCCTTTTTTTTCCTTTAGCAAACTAGGATCCTTCGAATCGGCGCCCGTATCTCAAATTGCTAGAAGCCATTTTTTGTTGTCTTTATTGTCCAGGAGATTTATGTAAGTATCCCTTTGTTTTTATTTTGTATATACCCCAATCCTACCCATTTGATTTCAACTTATCCACGACCTAGCTCTCCAACAATCCCCTGGGTGCCGTACGCTCTAGTTTCGATTATTTTGTTTGCCCAATCTTCTCCCCCATGTTCTTACCCTGAGGTAAGCAAAATATGTCGATACAGTGTTGGTAATGTGATACCCTTTTGACTCGTGGATTCTCATCACACCAGTAGTGTGCATTATGGGAGTTAAACATACTTTGTCATGCATGCATTTTAAGCATGCATTTTAAAAAATTTGGATTGTGGGCTGTCCTTTGTTGCAATGTTTCACAAAAATCCACTCTAACCGGTAGATCATCTGGCAAGAGCTCTTGGACTTGTCTGTAATGATAAGGATGTAATTGCTGTTCTTTCAGTATGCGCCAAGTACTTGAAGAAAAAGTATTTGTTTGTCTTGCTATATTCCTTACGCTAACTGTTGGATCTTGATCAAGTAAATTTAAAATATTATTTTCTTTATTAATTGTTCTTGGTCTACCAGAATTTATTTTATTTGGCCTCACATTCCCAGTTTCTCGACAACGTCGTTTAACGGCTCTAAATGTTTTTTTACTTATTAAGTTTCTTCTAGGAAACTTTTCTGCATAACGTGTCACAGCTGCACTAGAACATCCTAAACATTCGCCTAAGGTTAATAACATGTCAGTGTATTCAACATTTGAGTACATTTTGATTTTATTTTACAAATAACAAGGTTTCAAAATTCTAATTATTGTTGATTTATCGTCATAACAATCAATTAATGTCAGATTTCCATGGCACACTTGGAGAAAATAGAGGTATACCTATTAGAACTTTATTATTACTACCAGCATCAATTATTACTTCATAATTTTCAAATCAAAATATTCCGAAAACGGTACACAGTATCGGGTTTTACCAAAAGTAACTTTTTCGTGTAAAATTGAATAATGTTTAAGTTTACTTGAAATTTTGATTAATAATTATACTCTTAAAAAATTTATATTGACTAATACTTAGTACGATCCGTGTAACTAGCGCCCTCTATGAGAATCAGATATAAAAACAAATTCATGGGATGTATTAGCTTCCAAAACATATTCATATAAAATTTCATTACAATGTTGCCAGTAGTTCCGGCAAAATCGTAAAAAATGCGTAATTTTTTTTTTCTTCAATGCCCTGTATCTTGAAAACGGATGGCGTTACAAAAATTTTTTACTAAGCAAACCCCAAATATCCTGTCCTGCTTTTAATTAAGACGAAACTATTAACATGCCAACAAAAACAAAGTTTAGTTCAGTTCCTCTGGGTACCTTCACATTGCGAGTTAAGTGGAAATGATAAAGCTGACATATTACCAACAAATGTAATTGAGAATCCGTTAACAGCATCTCATAACTACCTGTGTTCATACTGATTTAAGTAATATTTTAAGAACAAAATCATGTCACAATGAGATTTCTACTAAGAGAAGAGAGCCCAGATTGCGACTTGGATATACAAAGACAACGCATGATTTAATATTAATACAGGAACCTTCGCCGATGTGTTATGTATGTGATAGTGAACAAACAATGCAACATATGTACTAGAACGACAACAACAACCGTTACCTAACACCTTAAAAGAACGTTTAAGTGAAAATCATCCATCTAAAATTCTTAATTTCTTACGAGCCATAGGACTGAGTAACCAAATTTAATATTAACTTTTAGTGGAATAATAATAATTATTGGAATAATAAATAAACTATTGTAGAAAATGTGAATAATTTTCTACAATCCCTGTGTAAAAAAAAGCATTGGCCCGAAATTTTGCGCCTACACTCTTAAGGGGGAGGGTGATTCTGAGAAGTACCTTAGTTTATAGAGCTTTCCTGTATCTGACATATTTTAGTTTTTAATACAAATAAAAATAACGTACTGGGGTCTGATGATGGGGCAAATATTGTTAGCATTGAAACCGGTAGCCCAAAATTTACCAACTTTATTAAATAAAAACTACTTAAGATTGTGAGTACTTTTCCCATATACTAAAATTACTTTAAATTGGACAACCGATCGTCCGATTTAAAGTAACCTGCTATTAGTTTTTATGTTTGGTTGATATTTTAAGTTCTAAGAAGTTAAAAATAAAAATTTGTAGTACAAGTCAGTAAAAAAATATAATTAGCCAAACTAAAATATAATCCATCACCAAGATTTCAAATCCACTCATTTAGACTTTCTTGTATATTTTATTTGATGGTGAAACATAATAGTTTTAGATATTCACGATCAGTTTTAAGGAGCGATGACAAAATAGGTGATATGTAATATAGTTAGGGGGATAAATGAAATGTAAGTGGAAATGATTTATGCCGAGATTAAAAATCATAGATTAAGATGGTTAGGGGTGGTTACATACTTCAAAACTGAAATGTTAATCATTTAATAATAAGAATCGTTAAGTGCCAAGCCGATTAAAGAATTAGGTGATAAAGATCAAAGATAACCATTGCGAGATACTTACATAAGAAATTTATTTGAAGGGAATCAATATTAGTACGGTCCAATATAAAAACAAGGGAAAATTTAATTAGCAGATTTAATAAAGACAGAGAATAATAACGATGATTTCAAAAAGAAGTATCTGTGATATATATTTAATAAATATAAACATATAAAAGCATATTACTTTTAATTAAAGTGTGTCAATAACGAAAAAAAATGATTTAATTTTAAAACAGCTTTTATCAACACTTCAATTTCAACTCCTTTTAGGTAGAATGTATTGCACACTTAACTGTGTGAAGTTTAAGTATGTGCATATAAGTATGGGTAATGAAATATATTTAAACATTACATAATATAATCTTACCTCTTTAATAGCACTGAAATCTACGTCTGCTGTCAAATCAGCGGATCCAGGCTGAACTAAGGGATCCACTTGTTTGTGATTCTTAAATGCTCTAAATGAATCTGTGGCACATCTAAAATTACCATAATCGCAAATTAACGCCAAACCACCTAAAAAATCATTCTCTTTTATTTGTACAATATATGAAAATACCACAATTAAAAGTTATAAATAGTATCTATTATAATATAGAAATTTCATAAAATTGTCAGGCCGAAATAAAAGTAAATTAAATTTTTATTCGGCTTTCTTTTTCCATCTTTCATTTGCCTCTAAATGTTTCTAAATCCATCTTTCTTATCCCTTTTTCCAGTTTGACATTTAAAAAACGTCAAATAGGTAGCCAAATCTAAAATAGCTCCCGAAAAAGTTAATTTTATAGTGGTTTAATAGCTTAGTGAATAAATAAATTTAATAACTTACTGAATAAATTTAATAACTCCGTGAAGTTGTAAATAAACAAACTAAATTGTTTCCCCGTAATGGGAAAACACAGCACAGTGAGGAAGTCCTTTCAGACGAAAGATAACTTTGTTGATGTGAATACTAAACATTGTGGGATGGAATATAATAATTTTCAAATAAGTCATTAACTAAATAAAGATGCTACTTTGCCTATAGAAAATAAAAAGGATATTAAAATGTTTCAACTTGGTCTCATATAAGTACAATTTAGATAATATTTGGGTATGTATTAAAAAAATTAGAAGCGAAAACTTGGGTAACCTGCATTCCATGATGGTAGGCCATATATTTTGAAACTAACAAACATTAAGATTTTACTATCATCACGAATAGAAGCTAATAATATTTAATAGTTTACATACCAAACCATTTGTTAGAAATTAAAGGCTTAGTTAGGGTTAGTTACTCAATATGACATCAATTATCTCATAGAAAACGTTGAATCCACGTCCAAGGTTATACATATTTATAGAACAAAGCGTAGAGTACAAAGAGAAGATAATATTGACTACTTAGATAAAAAACTTTGGTTTTTTAAAAACTTTTGAGGCTAATATTTCATCCAACTATATAGCTTTTACCAAAGTTTATTTCCCTGTCGAACAATTTATGGTTGTTCAGTGTTATAAATCTTTTAAATTTGGACATGTCTCAAAACAGTTCAAAGGTTCCCAGGAGTGTTGTATTCAGTGTGGTCAAACTAGAACTGAAAATCATACTTGTGATAAATCACAATATAATAATTCAACAAAAAATTACTTCTTAAACCTACTCAACTTTTATCGGTTAACTCACATAAACCTAATTATTACAACTTAAAAAATAAAAATCAAATAACAAAAAGTGTAAGAACCTTTATAAATTATGTTATTATAAATTAAGACATAAAAATGCCTTTATAAATTAAGACATGAAAATGTTAAGAGGGCAAAACAATAATCACTGGTTGGAACACGTTTTAGAAACAATAAACAATTATAGCTCCTAATGGCTGTACAACATGTTTTAAAAATAAGTCAGTTTTAAATGCAGTTTAATGCAACATTGAAAGATAAAACAATTGACATTCTGCCTATTAGTGAAACATGGCTAAAAAAAGACTCAACATTCTTTTAATGGTATATTTGTTATTAAAATAGATAGGGGTGGACACATTGTTAGGATGTCAGATCACGAATACACGAAGAGATTAACATTTTCAAAAACAGAGGGCACAAGAAGCAGAGGACGACCACGAATGAGATGGATTGATGATGTTGAAGAAGACCTACAGATTCTAAGGGTTAGAAGATGGAGGGAAGTTGTCAGGAATCGGCAGGAGTGGCGACTTCTTTGTGAGCACGGATTGTTGAGCCACTTATGATAATGATGATCAGCTAGTTCATTTACTATATCCTATGGGTCAGTTAGTAACGTTCTTTCTTTCTCCAGACTCACAATTTACTGGTAGGTGCGCTGTCCTATTTTTTTAACTTTTTTTCAAATGGATGATATATCTGTACTGCTGTTTATGCTAGATATGTATTTCTGCCATGATTCTTCTTTGCTTTTTTTATGATTCTTTTGGCTTCAGCTCTACATTTTTTTTGTACTCAGTTAATAGATCAATAATTTTGTACTTTTTGTATCGGTTCCAAATTGTCTTACTTAATTTAATAGCGACCTCACATTGTGTATTCCACCAGGGGACTGGTTTGTGTTCTTTTTTAAGTTGAGAATTTCCTATGGCTATATTAGCAGCATCAAGTATAAGCTGATTGAAGCACGTGAGTGTGTCATCAATGGACTCTGAAATTTTAATCTGATTCATTCTCTCTGATACAATTTTCTCAAATTCAATACAATTTGCCTTTTTTAGTTTCCATTTTTGAGTTGGTATTGTATTTGTGTCTAAACTAGCGGTATGTTTTATTAAGATTGGGAAGTGGTTACTACTATATAAATTTTTTAGTGCTACCCAATCGAATTGGGTGAGCAACGAAGATGCACATATGGCGAGATCAACAGCGGAAAATGTTCCCGGAGCCATATTGACTCTTGTTGGAGAGCCGTCGTTGAGAAGGCATAGGTTCATAGTGTTAAAAACGATTTCTAACATATTTCCCCTCGGTGTTGTTTTATTTGATCCCCATGTAATGTTATGGGCATTAAAATCTCCCGTGATTATTTGAGGTGAGGGAATTTGTTGGAAAAGATTAAGTAGTTCGTATTTAGTTAGAGTTTGATCTGGTGAAATATAGATGCTACAAATGTTGAACTTTAGTGGGGCCAGTAGTGTTACGGCTACTGTTTCGAAATTAGTTAAGAGGTTTATTTTTTGTAGAGGTATATTACTTTTATTCTGTATAAAATTATGTGTGTTCGTTGGAGAATTAAATACCGAAACTCTGAATGAAATGCACAAATTTATTTAGTTGTTTACAGCTTAGGGTATAAAACTATACTAACTTAAGGAATACAAACTATATCTTAAAAACCTCTCATAGTTCTTGTCATATCGTAAACACCTCGAGATTCTCAGCGTGTGTGTTTATCATCTCCGAAGTAGTCTGAATATTGAGATAAAACACACACAGTGGCGTGCTCGCCATAACATATTTGATTTTATATATAGAGCTACTCCTCCACTGGCATAATTCTGATTGGGTCGATTGGTGCAAAATCCAGTGTAACCTTTCAGGTTGTGCATTGCGTTATTTTTAAAGTGGGTTTCTTGTAAAGAAATAAGATCTGGTGCATGCTTTGCGACAAGAAGCTGTAGCATGGTTAAATTGGTATAATACCCATTTAAATTCCATTGTAATATAATGTAACCATTTTAAAAATGATATAAAATAACTTTTCTTTGTTAAAAAAAATTCCAGTTGGATTCGGTTCGTCAAAGCGAATAGACGTGCGATACTTAAAATCAAATTAACGAAATCGGTGTTATCACCTTGTAATTAAAAAACTATTTTTATTCATAGAAAAATTACACATATCGATTAAAAAAAAAAAGTAAAATTTAAGTGGTTTAAAGATCATGAGTGTTGGTAGCGGGGCTAGAAAATCCCCCGAAAAAGATGAGTTGGAAGGTGATATGGAGGTGTCCCGTCCGGATCTTCCACCTTCTCCAGTGGAGGAATTTAGAGGATTTCAAAATATCAACCCTATTACACAGATAAGTATTGGTCATGTTTTTGAAATTGTTTCCGAAAAAAATTTAAGCGTAAACATAATAGATCAATATTCTCCAAAAGATAATGAGCCATTTTTTGTTTTGAGAAAAATTACACATATCGATTTAAAAAAAAAAGTAAAATTTAAGTGGTTTAAAGATCATGAGTGTTAGTAGCGGGGCTAGAAAACCCCCCGAAAAAGATGAGTTGGAAGGTGATATGGAGGTGTCCCGTCCGGATCTTCCTCCTTCTCCAGTGGAGGAATTTAGAGGATTTCAAAATATCAACCCTATTACACAGATAAGTATTGGTCATGTTTTTGAAATTGTTTCCGAAAAAAATTTAAGCGTAAACACAATAGATCAATATTCTCCAAAAGATAATGATCCATTTTTTGTTTATATTCAAAGTAAAACAGGTAAAATAGGCAATTTACATAAAAAAGCTACGGCTAGACTAATAATTAATGCGTTACCAGAAATTAAACATGATATAGCTAACATATCAGTAATAGGAGCTAATAAAATAAAGGTTGAATTAACTTCTTATGCAAGCGCAAATAAGTTATTAACAGCACAGTCAATAAAGGATAAACAATACGATACATACATTCCAATACAAAAATGTACGTCAAATGGCTTGGCCTTGCTGCAAAACATAATAGTTGTATTGATAATGACGCTGTCATCTAAACAGGTGGGGGAATAGAAATATGAAAAATTGAGGAGAAACATGTAGAAACGCGTTTTTCTTTCTCAGTTTATTACAGTTAGCTAGCTAGTAAAAATGTATTCCCAAGATACTGGATACTCAAGCGGCAGCGAGTATAATGTCACCCTTTCACCATAATCCGAAACATCAATTGTATTTTAAGGCTATGACCATGAGCTGGATGTACTTACTACTTAGAAGTACGAAGAAGCGGCCAAGAACGAGACCCATTACCTGTTGTGCACACAGTTTCTAAATTAATCATACCAAATTGGATGTGGTCTAAGTCCAGCCAGAACATACACTCCTGCTGTAATTATGTGGAAATCACCATGGCAGAAAATATCTTTCAGTACATATGAATGGGGACAATCGATTACCCAACTCAATGAGAATAGTTTTTCTATTTTTCTATGAAAACGTGACCTTTGATGATCATAATGATCATGCTGAAATTCAGTGTGGTGACTATTGCAGAATTCGACAAATAATCTACAACATCAAATTCCTCGAAATAACCAAGAATGACATTAACTTTTGTCTCTCAGAAATGCAAGTGAACACCCTTTTAGAAGCAAATAACGAACTTTTAACACCATATGTGGCAATTTTAAAGACTATTAAATTTACAAATTTTTATTAAAATACGTTTAATCTTGTTAGAGATTTATTTATTTAAAATTGAAAATAAAATCAGTCGAGTTGGTAAGATCAAAGAGTGTCAACTTTTACTTATATCAAACAGATGCTTTCTTATTTGAATCAGTATCATTCGAGATGCAAACCAATAAAGTTGTTCTGCTCATCGCAACTGGCATCGTAGGTGAAAATTTAAACGAGACAAATGCGGTGTCATGGTTGGAACAATATGGTTATATTACCACAAGTGAAACTGCACACACTGATATTACTGAAACACTACAAAAGTTTCAAGAAAAATATAATTTAACTGCGGATGGAAAATTAAATAGAGAAACGATGGAGTTAATGCAGAAACCAAGATGTATACAAGGAGATAATGCTTACGCTGTAAAATCATCATGGAAAAAATTTGATATAAAATGGTATTTTCCACAATTTACCAAAGCAGCACTACTTTCGATATAATTGTCAGGGTAACGACGACTGTCCTTATACATTTACAAGTGGTGTATTAGCACATTCTTATTTTCCACCAGTAACTGGATGCATAGAAATTCATATGAATAGAAATCTAACATGTGATTTCAGTTTGAATTCTACAGCACAAGGTCGAACAAATTTCTTTGTTGTCTTTCTTCATAAAGTTGGTCACGCTTTAGGTTTATCACATAATAGCGATAGAAAAGCTGTAATGTATCCTTTTTATCAAGCCTTACCTACCAACATATCCGAAGATGATAAAATGGGCTTAGAAGAGCTATATGGACCTAAAACTAAATATACATTTATTCCACCTCAACCTGGTGGTACTAGGGTCAGCTCACCAACTTTAAAGACAACCACAACAGAAAGATCTAGGAGTAAGGCAACCACAAAAGCGAGGAGTAATAAATAGATGCAAAATGTCATAACGAATGTATGTGAATTAGAATACCCAGATTTAATATTTTTAGCATACGCTCCATCATTTCCAACATACCATATGTATATAGTAAGTATTTGATATGGTTTAAATAATGAAAAAATATCCACCAATGCTGAACGATTTATAAGATATTTGCCAAAAGGAACTATGAACGTAACACATGTTTCTCAAAGTACCAATGTAGATTTATTTGGTGTAAGTAGGAATCGTATATACGCAGCAGCATTTCCTAGCTTAAGAATTTATACAGATAACATGGTACCTGAAGTAAATAACGCAAGAAGTATTACCGGTTTATTTCAAACAAATTCAGGAAAAAAATTTGTTTGTTTGGATGGCTCATTTATTGAATTTAATGATAAACGCATTTACAAGATTTAAAGTTTAATGAATTTACAAGAAGTGTCGATGAAAAAGGTACTTTTATCTGGAATATGTTAGGGTTCCGTTGTCTTGATAATGGATTAATAAAACAACTGAAATCCTTGTTAGCTAATTAAATTTATTTTATGAATAATTAATGTCTAAATGAGAGTTTGTATTGGGAAAAGGTAAATAAAAAATAAAGAATATTTTACAAAAAAGTTTTATTCGTTATTCGTTCGTTATTTGTTATTCGGTATTCGTATTTTGCATTATTTTTGTCATCGTTTTTTTCTTTTTTTGTTTTTTTTAATAGAGTTAACATTTTGTGATTATGATCAATACAAGTAAAAATCTTTATAAAGATTTTTAAGAGTTTTTATTAAGAATATTTGTTCGGAACACACTGTAACTGTAATCGAACGAAGGTAAAATTTTGGCATAAATTGGTAACACTTATTTGACAGTTGCGGTGTTGACACTTTTTGTACTTTATTATTTTAAATTTTAAAGTGAATACCTCTTGTTTTATATTTTTACCTATTTAATAAAATCTGTTCTTTTTAGAACAAAATTAGTTTGTTTTATTTCAATAATGTCACGTAAGAATTTAAATAGTCGTTGTAAAGAGATGGTAATACTTTTGCAATAATTATGTGACCTATTTAATTTAAAATGGAGTCAGGATTTTTTTATACTTTGGCAACTATGTCAACTTCGATCTCTGACGTAGATAATGACGTAAGTCGTTATCTAAATTAGATGAAGTATATTAGTAGAAGTATCTAAATTAGATGTATATTTAAAATATTTAATGACAACAATCAGCAAATTATATTAAAAAAAAAAATTGAATGTTATATAAATAATGATACGAAGATATTAATTATGAAAATTGACTAAAATTATTAAAATACGAACCAAAACCAAAGTTCTGGTTCGTTCACTCACTAAAGTTTAGACAAAATTTAAAGTAACTTATTTAAAAAAAATAGTAGGAATACAATAAAAAAGAAAGAACCTGACTACTCTCAAACCGAGAAGATTTTTCTTCCGGACGCCTTACGCCACTGGGACTCCGGGTGAAAGCCATAAGCACACTCTTCTAGTACTAAACTGAACTGCTATTCCAATAACCGGGAAAACCAAAAAAACTCCAACTAAACTACATGAAATCCATTACTCTAAATTCAAAATAATCTTGATTGACTTTATATTCCTTATTCCTCCAGCGACTAAAAATAAAATCAAAGAAAGCTCTCATTAGCTTTATTCTGAGTTGATAAACAAAAAGGCGGTTAGGACAAGAAAAACTAGCTCGAATGATGATAATTAGTGAAGGTTTGTACACTTATTGTGACCTTGGAAAATTAATCGAAAACTAAAGTCAAATTCCACTATTTAGAAGAGTGATTCATTGTTTAAAGGCGGTAAAGTGGGGAAAGACGTATGAAAATCCAGTGACGTACACTCACTTTTTTTTAACGTTAATTATATTATATTTTTCAAATATTATTGTTCGAAATAGGCCACAATATATTTATTTACAAGTTTTTATTGACGTTTCGATTTCTATATCCAAAGTCCGCTTTCAAAAATATAAATGATAGTTATATTTTTTTTATTTGTTTATTATTATATATTTTTATAATCTTATATTATTTATTTTCTTTTTTATTCTATCTTTAAAAACGGTCTCTGGAATAGAGATCGAAAGGTCAGTGTATTAAACACGTAAATAGATATATTGTGGTTTATTTCCAACCTTATCCCTAAAAACACAGAATGCCACAAACACAATATATAGTATAGGAAAACAAATATATGTCATTTGTATGTTTAAAAACGGTCTCTTTATAGAAATCCAAACGTCCGTAAATTAAACATTTGAATAAATATATTGTGGCTTATTCCCAACATTATTTCTAAAAATACAGAACGACAAGTAAAAAGCCATCATTTGTATAATTGAAAACGGTCTCTGGATATAGAGATCGAAACGTCAGTAAATAAACATATGAATTCATATTTTGTGTGGGTAATTACCTACATTCCCCTAAAAATAGAGAATGCAACACACACACAAACAAAAAGTAATAAAAAGCAATTAATTTTACAAAAAGCTTACTGATGCCACCTAGCATCAGTAAGCTTTCGCAGAAGTTACGCTAAAACGTCTTTTGACGCGACCCGTCCTAAAAGAGTTACATAATGAAATTTTTTTTAAAACAAATTTTAAGATAGTTTCCACACCACCCCAGAGGTATGTCTTGTGGCACGTTACTTTTTTAAATGGGTGTTCGCCAAGAGCCATATTGTCCCATTAAATAAAATGAGCAAAACACTTTTAAAACAGTATAAAACAAAACAAAATAAAATTCTATAAAACAAAATAAAATTCTACAAAAACAAAATAAAAATAATTTTTGATGTAACGAAACATTGTACTATTCTATTTAAACACAAACACTATACACACTTGCTATGTTCTTCTCATTTTTTTTTTATTATTCTGAAGATCTTACTAAACTATTAGTAAATATTATTCGCTGTCTAAATCTGAAGATGCAGTGCTGCTATCGCTGTCATTATCTTCACCTGGCTCTAGTAAAACTTCGATATGAGTGTCAAGTTCCCACATACGACGTTCTTCTTTAATTATGTGGCCTATACATTTAGCCCATTTCTCTGGAGTTACATGGAGGATTGCTTGAATTAAAAGTTCCTTAACTTCGTTTAATTTAAACGTTTTGTTATTGCGTGCTACTTCTCCTTTCACTTGCGCCCAGATAAGTTCAATGGGATTAAGTTCGCAATGATAAGGTGGTAGGCGCAGAACTTTGACACCATAATCTTTTGCAGTTTCATCCACAGCATATTTAAGATATTCACTTTTCCTTAACCGTGCAATGTCAAGTAGCTGAATTTTGAGCATTGATTCTTCATATGCAATCCCCTTTTCTGTAAGCCATTCTTGAATTCTCCCTTTCCGCCATGCCGTCGTCGGTAATTGTTCTAGTCTGCGGCTATGGTATGGCGCCTTATCCATTACAACCACAGACCCAGGTTCAATTTTGGTAAAATTCTCTTAAACCAGCGCTCAAATACTTCGGAAGTCATTTCTTCATGATAATCACCTGTTTTTTTTTCGACTCAAATTGAAGCAAACCATCATCAAGGAACCCTGTATCACTTCCTATATGGGTGATGATTAAACGCCGTCCCTTTCCTGATGGAGCTTTTAATCCTGTAGACCAGCCTTCTATAAATGCTTCGCGTTTACTTTTAACATTTAAATCTTGCCAAACTTTTCCAACTGTATGACCTTCGTTAATCCAGGTTTCATACAAATAAAATATTTTGCGCCCAGCGCTGCGAATTTTGCGTATTTCTTCTAAATATTTTCTTCTCCACACAATAATTTCATTTTTTTCTAATAGCATACTTTTTCTATTGCGTTTCACATATCGAAAGTTCATTTCGCGCATGGTCCTGATTAAGACTCTACGACATATCTTGGGTAAGGCGTCATCGTTTTGGAGCTCTTGAGAAATTTTTTTCAGTGTTGGAATTTCACTCCGAAAATAAAATGAATAAATTTGTCTACGTATAATATTTCTTGTCTCGTCATCTAAAACAATGCTTTTCCTACCTCTAGTTTTACCTTTTTCTTGCTTTTGATTTTCCGATGTATTTGTAATTACACGATAAATACAGCTAACGGATACTTTTGTTAATCTGCTACAAATGTCTACCGCTTGGCTAATATTTAATGCCATTTTTCTGCCGACAATTCCTTCATAAACGTTTCGTATCATTACCTTCTCTTCGGACGTTAACATTTTCCGTCTCTTTTGCGACTTTTCATTTTTGGAATCAACATCAGAATTTTGTTTTCTTCTCTTGGAACAGTTCGGTTTTTCGTCCATTGTATAAACCAAAACTCCAATAAAACTCAAATCAAATAACCACAGAATATAACTATGTAAAACTATATATACATAAAATATAAACAAATAAAACTACATATTATATATAAAACTTCAATATAAACAGAAACTCCAACCAAATAATCACAGAATTTAACTAAAAATTTAATATAAAACGACAAACTATAACACTCGTATTATCAATAACACAAATTTATAACAAATATATTCACAAAATGGAACACCTT